ACGACGACGACTACTACTACACTACGACTACTACGACGACGACGATGACTACGACTACGACGACACGACGACGACGACGACGACGACGACTACTACTACCACTACCGCTACCGCTTCGGCTACCTCTACCTACTACTACTACTACTACTACGACGACGACGACTACTACACTAGAATTGAAGCTTTCTTTTCGACGGGAACTCCACGAAAACGCTACGTGGATCTGCAAAGAAATATGCGCAGGGTCACAAGCTCTAGGATCTCCGGTCGTTGGTAGGCCTTGGGAGTGAGGAATCATGAGATCTCAGCGATGTGTAATGCCCTCTACGATGGCCTCGAACTCGCCATAGCCCCAACCCAACTGCCTCAGGCCGAGTGGATTGCCGGCTTTTACAGGGGTCTAGCACGCTGCGATGATGTCAAGCCAGTTATGCATGTTTACCTAGCCGGAACCCGAAAGCGAGGATGCTTGGTGCACAGCTTTTCGGCTTTAGGGTTTCAGGGTAGGCAACGGCAGCATTTCACGATTGAGGCAGTTCAGATTCCATTTTGCAAGTCATGGCACGCCTCAATGCACAACTTCTAAGGCAGTAACGATCCGTCCACCTCCAACTCCCCCTCCCCTTGTACAGCCCCGAAGCTACACAACCCCCTGCATCCCTACAGCTGATTCATTGTTTCAGCCCGTGACCTACATCTGCTTGCCAAAACTGACCAAACCCGCAGCGGAACAATAAATCCCTAATCCTCTCAGTGTTCTGCCGGGCTGCTTGCGAGTAGCCTCGGCCTCGTCCGCACCCAACGGGGCACCGTGGGCATCGTGGCTGTCGGCCTGGCATTGGGTAGCAGTGTTAGGTAGGCTTGTGTTTCTTCGGGGTCGTCAAGGAACACGCCTCGCGCCATATGCCGTTGTGGACCAGTTGTAGGTTTGCTAAATGCGAACCAACATACTTGCAACGTACACCTGTCCGGTGCGGAAGATCCCGCGAAAGAACGAGTTACAGTTCACTCATGCAATGTCAACACTCCAAAGCTTTGCTGAATACAGCCCGGGCCAAGACTAAGAAGCCATGCTCCCCAAGCCCCGAAGCCTCAGCCCTGTTGGCATGTCTTCCCAGCAAGGCCTTGTTGGGAGAGCCGAAGCCGATTGTGGTCTTCACCTGGTATCATTGAGGCAGCTAGAGTCAGCTGGAGCAGGAAGAAGTGTAGATCGCGGATCTAATTAAGTCAACACCTAAACCCTGGTCCCAAATCCTGACTAATCAAGCTTCGGCGACCTTCAACATCTAGCAAGTCTAGAGCTTGAGACCTTTCGTCGGTCAACAAGAAATCTGTGGTTGACGTAGAGGCTTTCTTTGCGGGGTGTGCGAACACAGCAGCACCCCGACCGCAGTCACCCTGCCTTGATGAGGGTGGGCTTGTCCTCAGTGAGCTTGCGCGGGAACCCCAGCAACACACGTGTGGCTGCTCGGGCAGAAGAAGGGATAAACCCTGCGAGGAAAAACTGTCCAAGCCGATCCGAGGAGCAGTGCAGGCCTTTGCCTCGGCGATGGCCTTGCGGATGGCACCGACATCCTGCAATGGCAATCTCGGACACGACGGTTCACGTGGGCACGATCGTCCCTGGCAGACTTGCTGCAAACAAAATGTAGGGCCATGTAGGGAGGTCTGCGCATTCCCAAACGATACCAGGAAGGATTCCTGAAGGAAAGGACACACGCCCTGCACTCCTCCCGAAACTCTGAGGCCTCAGCTCCAACATTCTCTGCTCCAAGCTGGCCAAAACTACTGCTGGGGCTCCTTGTCGCCGTCACTCACGGTGATGACCTGCCAGCCGTAGGCCTGTCCAGGAAAGACGAATGCCGCATGCAGAGTGCACACGGGAGTCTTTTGCATCAGCGAGTTTGAGAGCCTGCCTGCCTTTGGGCACATGAAGCAATTTCCGAAAGCAAGCTGCGACCATAGGCATGCTGACAGGAAAAAACGATCAGAATCCCTCAAACCACACCATCCAACCTAAATCCAGAGTGCACTTCCAGACAACTTTCATGGTTTTACTGAATCAACAGATCGGAGCCTCGAATCGCTTGCCGACGTCCTGAAAAGCAAGCCAGCGAGAAACATCGTCGTGACAGTACGTTCTCAACCTCCCTCTAGGACGTCGGACTGAGTCAGGCGGCAGGTCCCGTAGCCGGGAAGGGGAGACCGGTAGTCTCGATGATTGATACGCATCTGTCATTTCTTGGAACACTGGGCTTGTGCTATTCTTTAGTGTCTGCGTCCTTTGTGGGAAGTCCCACGCAGGACTAGGTTTGGAGGTCTACCACATGCGTGGCCCAGTGCCACCTCGGTGAAGGAAAGGTCCGTGTGGCCATCGATGGTGATGCCGTTGTCGTCCTGGGGCTCCCGACCCCAATCCAAAGAATAACCCTGCCCAGCAGCTGCTCCTGTACGTACTGCTGAACTCTAAAGCCTTCACAAAACCGGCACAACAATCTGAGAGGCATGAAAAGAACAACGACGAACCCATCCTAGGGACAAACTTCCGACCCAGGTGCATAGAAAGCAATGAGCTTGCCCAGCCCGAGGTGGCCGGCGTAGGCGCAGGCTTCGTGGGAGATGCCTTCCTGACCCGTGTTTGCAGGCTTCATGTTCAAGCTTCAGGGGTGAACAAATCGAACTCAGACTCAGCCAAGGACTGCCGTGAATGAGTGTTGACTGGGCTCTTTGATGGCTCCAAAGTAACAAACATTGCCGATTCAGCGGCCTCACCTCTTCTGGAAACTAGAGGGCCTACTACTCGGCACGCACTCCTGGTGTCCGAAACTGTGCAAACGTGCCAAGGTCACACTCGTTTCAACCTGCTGAGGCTACTGTCGGTCTGTAACTAAGTTTCTCGGCTGTACTTGAGATGCGTGCTCGAGCCACACAGTGGAGTGACAGGTCACTACTAGCATCCATGTAACTCCAAAGTGTTTTTGTGGGCCTTGCAACGTGTGCGGGTGTCTGTGTGTCTCCCGTCTGTGGCTAAGTTCTAAGGCAGGCAGGGTCTCAGGAGTAGCAGCAAGCGGCGAGGTGCCAAGCAAAGCCGGCTAGTAAGTGCCAATCCGGCAAAGATCCTTAGCCTGGCACAATGACAAGCATGGTCAGACTGGGGCTTCGGATAGCGCTCCTGCATGCAGCCGTCGCCCGCAATGGTGTAGGTGTAGTGGTCGATGAGAGTGAAGTCCGGCCTCACGCCACGTTGGCTGATCCCTGTCTCGTACGACAGCGTCAGAATATTCACTCATAGCCGTCATAACCAGAAGACTAGAGAACGCGTGCCGAACGCGCAACACCATCTCATCCACTCATCAATTCATCCATCCATCCATCCATGAATCCATCCATTCATCTGCCGGCAGATGGATGTGTTGGCGGGATTCAGGGACATGTTTGCAACAATTGCGGGATCAACATAGCAACCCCCGCAACGCAAGGGCCGGCAGCACCGAGAAGGTTCTCTGTTCAAGGCAAACATGAGTCAATGTGCTGGAATTACAATGGATCGCGCTTACCGGGGGACGTGCACACACCCCGTCTACCGTGATGGTTGTCAATTTCGAACACGAATCTTAACCCGGCATGAGTCACGCATCGCGATCTCGCGCGTTCCAAGACGCTGGCGCCACGAGAGGGTTGCCAAATCCGCCACATGCAGCATTTGCGCAGCACCAATTGACGATGCACGGCGACTCCCGCTTTCCTCTGCCCCGTGCCTTGAAAGACATGCGGTAAGAGGCGACCTCACGAAAACCTAAAAGGCCGACCTGAAGTTTGGGCGTTAACATCAACGACCAAAACGCGGTTCAGCAATGGGCGCAGAGACAGCCAGCCAACAACGGCGAGATCTTCAACATGGTGCGTGCATATCATGAAAAAGTTATTCGTCCTGAATACTACTCACTGGTGTGCCAGCTTGAAGCCGGGCTGAAAGCAGTGGACGATCGGTGCTTTGAGGTTCGCAAGCAACTGTCCTGGATGTCGGCAGAGAATAGGTTGAGCCAAAAGCACGCGTGCGGATTGCAGCTGCTCACAACTGGGTGGCCGAATGCTATGACGCCAGCGGACCGAGTGTACATGATTTCCTGGATGGTTTCGCAGGTCCCTGCTTT